GCATGCACACACACGAGTGTGTTCGCACACAAAACAAAACAAATAATCATACCAGACATGACCAGGGCTATCTTTGAGGGTCGAAATAGAGGCTGGGTCCAAGGGAATAGGGGTGGGCTGGGGTAGTGGAGATAGCAAAAAAGTAGAGACTAGGTTGAGGGTAGGTGGGACAGGCCAGTGGATAGAGAGAGTGGGGATCTGAGGCAAGAAGGCCCAGGGGGAGATTGTGCAAACTTTGAAATGTATAACAAGTTCTTGGGAGGAGAGACCTAGAAAGCACGGAGGCCAACACTGGCTTTGATACCCTGATAGGTTCAACAGCTATATGTCAGTGGAGAGCCAAGATGTCCCTTTTGCCAGAGGCAAGGGAGATGACCCCTTTTGGCTGGGCAGAAAACCAGTTTCACAAGTTCCTGAAGAATCCTGGCAAAAAAAATTTTCTGTAGTACTGTTTGAGTTCATTTCTGGATAGATGGATTTCCTGAGACCTGTCAGCATCCAAGTTGGACAGCTTATATCCACCTGGAATTCCAGATCTAGGGGAACATACTTCTCACACACTCACACACATCGTATACATCCACACAGGTAGACACATACACATAAAGAAAAATTAAAATAAGTCTTAACCCTGATGCCTCTCCTTTTGGCTATCAGACTATTGAGATAATAGACCCTAGGAATTGGAAATTCCCCAGATATCTCATACTGGGGGCCTGGTGTCAGCCAGAGGGGGAACTTGCCTACTAGTAAAAGAAATCCTGAGTGAGCTGTCCCAGAAGCAGAAAGATGCACACATTATATACTCACTCATATAGACATATAACATAGGATAAACCTACTAAAATCTGTACACCTAAAGAAACTAATTAAGAGAGAGGACCCTGACTAAAATGCTTAATCCCTATCCTGAAAGGCAAAGACGATGGACATCAGAAGAAGAAGAAGAAAACAGGAAACAAGTTAGGAACCTGCCACAGAGGGCCTCTGAAAGGCTCTGTCCTGCAGACTATCAAAGCAGATGCTGAGACTTATGGCCAACCTTTGAGGAGATTGCAGGGAATCTTATGAAAGAAGTGGGAGTTAGTAAGATCTGGAGAGGACAGGAACTCCACAAGGAGAGCAACAGAGCCAGAAAATTTGAACACAGAGGTCTTTCCAGAGACTCATACTCCAACCAAGTACCAGGCATGGAGATAACCTAGAATCCCTGCACAGATGTAGCCCATGGCAGTTTAGTGTCCAAGTGGATTACATAGTAATGGGAAGAGGGACCACCTCTGACATAAACTGATTGGCCTGCTCTTTGATCACTTCCCCCTGAGGGGGGAGCAGCCTTACCAGGCCACAGAAGATGACAGTGCACCCACTCCTGATGTGATCTGATAAACTAAGATCAGAAGGAAGGAGAGGAGGACCTCCCCTATCAGTGGACTTTGGAGGGGCATGTTTGAAGAAGGGGAAGGGAGGTTGGGATCGGGAGGGGAGGTGGGAGGGGCTTACGGGGGGATACAAAGTGAATAAAGTGTAATTAATGAAATTAAATTAAATTAAAAAAATGAAATAATAATTAAAAAAAAGAAGTCACACAGTTCTGACAACTTGTCAGCTACTTTTGCAGAAGAGGCATAGAACAGAGACAAAGATGATGACAGACCTGACTGCCTAGTTAGACATACTACTCACCCTCTATTCAAACCCAAACATTTTGATGAGACCCTAAAGACGGACTTGGGGAGGCATGGTCACTGGATTTCTTTTTCACTTCCTCTTCTCAAAGAGACCGTTGAATAAATCTCTGTCTTGGCTTTTCAATAAATAAATAAATAAGTCTTAAACAAACAAACAAACAACCCATTTCCCAAAGTTATCCCCCAAAGCAAACAGTTTGTTGGTTGAATTGTTGATCTCTTCTTCTTGACTGTTTCCACCCTGGAGAGAAACTGTTCCTCCTGGCAGTTGGGTTAGATACTGTCTCATACATTTTGATGATGTTAGTACATACATGAACACTTAGGTTTCGTATGTTCTCCCGACAAGCTGATTTTCTTTACACACCGTAATTACCTGTCTTTTGAAACCTGTGATTTTAGTTTTTGTCAGATATTACACATTTCACTGTTGATCTTTGCTGTAGGGTGCTTTTCAGTTAGCTGAAAAGAACAGTCATATTTTCAAGTTGTGTTAGGTGCTGAGTATGTACACCAAATGCTGGCCTATTACACTAAAGACCCAGAATTTGGCTCCCCAACATTCCCTAGACCAGAATTATTTCACACAAGCCTGTAATTACAGCCACTTGGAAGGCTATAGCAAGAGAATCGTGAATTCAAGATTGTCCCTAGCCTTAGCTAGTTCTTGGCCCTTCCTGGCTCCATGAAACCTTGTCTCAAAACCACCACCGTTACAACAGACAAGATAGAAGTTTTCTTAGGCCTTTTTAAAGATGATATTCAGGCCATAATAGAGCAGAACTTGAGCCATTGTTAAAGGAAGCCCTTCTGAGGTTTTGGGGTTTTTGTTTTTGTTTTTGTCTTGCTTTTTCATTTTTAAACTTTGTAAAAGCTTAATGCAAGAACATGGTCGTTTTTCACTTTGGTTGATAGGGCAGCTGCTGTCACCAGCCCTAGATAAGTCCTGGAATGATTTCTCTAATTCTTTCAATTCCCTCCTCACTCGTGGGATCTCTTTTCACACATCTGCTGATCAATACCTAACCAGTTACTTAAGAGGGACCTGACATTGTACCCCAGATACTCCATCCTTCTCCGAATCGCCCTCTTCCCCAGTCCTCTGCTCCTTCCTGCCTGCATGGCATCCACTTCCGTATTCTGAGATACCTGTCCAGCTCGCTACTGCCAGATCTATCTGCTTTATCTCCCCATGCTTAGCATAGATTTTTTTTTTCTAAGACACTAAACTGGGCCAATAGTAGGGCTCATATCACTTGCTTCTCAAAACTCAGGGCTCGCCCGGCAGCAAACTCTTTCTCGTGGATTTTTTTTGGGGGGGCGGGGGGACTGGCTTCTTAGTGCTTTCATTTGGAGAAGTAAAACTGATAAACCCTATTCCATCTTAGCTTCGAATATAAGCCAAAAGCTGAGGTTTTAGGCACTACAAACAGGGTCCTAATATGTTTTCCAGCACTCAGCAATCAGCGGGCCAAGATCACAGCAGCACATGCATCTGTAGGAAGGGCTGCTGGTATTACCGTCTCTTTTATCTGTGCTGCAGCGCGCATGTCAAATCTGGGCACCAGGAAAGAGTTTTTCAGTAATGCAGTCTGGGATGTTTAAAATGAAGGAGCAGGGCAAAGCCGGCTGATTCCCTGGTCTCTTCGTTACAGCCAAGTATGTTTGAAGGATTTCTTAAACAAGGAGAAGGTAGTCTTTGACCTGTGTATAACAAAGATAAAGTTGCTTAGAAAAATTTATATTTGCACAGAAGCCCACCATCTGTCAGGCAGTGATCCATATATGTATTTCAACACTGTCACAGTAAGATACCTGATCTTTGCTTGTTTCACAAACCTCTCTGATATAATTGATTGTCCTATAGTTTGAGTGAATCTTTGTCAGTTTTGTATATGGCATTCACTCAGCCTACTTTTTAAATGAGTTGCCATTTTATTGGGCTTTGGGTGACCATCGGTGCTCCTCTAGGCTGATTTGTGATGTCTTGAGAGACAGAAATATGTCACATTTTGTAATTTTAATCATATTTGTGATGCGTCAGAATAATCTTAGCCCCGTAGCATTCAGTTCTAATTAATGCTCTGGCTCCACATCCCACATTAACATTTATTATGGAGACGACACACATTCTTTACCATTTCTGCAAACGAAATGTGTGACTCTCAGAAAACTGAAATGATGCGATTTACTTGGATTTTTCATTCCATTGGCATAGTTGAGGGTTTGGTGATGAAGCAGGACCTCCGGGGAAAGTGTGTTAATTAAGCAGCTGGCATCCTGGCAAGATGAAGCCAGCTCCTGTAACAGCAGTCATGTTCTGGATCCCATGAGTAGTAGCCAGCCCAGCAAGGAGAACGTATTCAGCATGCGTCAATAAGCAAGCCTTTCTGAAAGTAGAAGGTGGGTTCTGACCAGGCCAGTCACCTTGTGAGGCCTCTGTGATACCACAGTTGTCCAGATCTGATCTAGGCTGTTTGAAACCCTATGTATATTTGTTACATTTACTTATTTCTGAGGGTGTGTGAGGTGTCTTGTGTGTGGCATCGTGTACGTGTGGCAGTCAGAGGGCAACTTGCAGGCATTATTTCTTTCCTTTTGTCATGTGGGTCCCCAGGATGGAACATGGCTTGGCGACAAGTGCCTTTACCAGTTGAGGCATCACACAAGCCTCTGCTTCATATGTTATCATGATCGCTAAACACTTCTTCAGAACCAACTCTTTTTAAACACTTATATACATGCGTGTATATATACACAATAAACATTTTCTCTTACTACATTTCGATAATACTCGCTGTAGCTATAGGCAGGGTTAATATCAAGCCTAAATTCCTTGATGTCAATAGAATAATGAATTTTGTTTCTTTTTTCTTTTTTGTAATAAGTGCCATTTCATGTGGTTGTGTTTTTTTGTTTTGTTTTGTTTATTTATTTATTTATTTTGCCAGTTACTTCATAAACGGTCCCATGTGGATGCATGTAAGTCATATTTAATTGTGGAGAAAGTAGAAAAGAAAAAGGCATAATTAGTAATTGTAACTGGAAAGGATTCAAGGAAAAAACAATATGTGACAGATTCAGCTATGGGAGTCTAAACAGTACCCATGACTTGCCATCATCAGAATTCTCTACTGTTACTTCTGAAATTACAACTCAAAAGTACTGCTGGCTTCAGAAGTAATACATTGTTCCAAAATTTCTGTATAAGTTTATATGCCCAGTGGTGTTAATTTCACAGAGATTTGCAATGAGAGCTAAAAGTAATGGCTGGGTCTTTCTTTTTTTTTTCTTCTTTTGTAAAAACAGCTGGACCTATAATCTGCAGAATGCTGAGCTACCCCCCAACTCGCCGAGCGTTAGTTGTGGGATGTGGTTTACAGATGTTCCAGCAACTCTCGGGCATCAACACCATCATGTACGTATTCCTGTTGGCTTTCTCTTGGAAAGACTGTGAAGGGGCTGTTTCGAAGGGAAGGCAAAAGAGAGCTCTTTCGATGGTTCGTCACTACTGAATGCAGAGGGTTCCTTTTTGAGTATGTTTCACTACTGTTAAGAACCCACCACTTGGAATCTTGAGGTAGTTTCGTGTTTGGTTTATTACTGTTACTGTATGTCTCATTCAATTTGTAATTATGCAACCTGGTACTTTTTTTTTTTAAGAGCGCAAGGTAACATTTGAAATTTTATTTGTTACACGGAGTCACACAGAGGTTTGGATGCAATTGTGTAACGATGCTGTTGGAGCACATTCTTTCCCCAGATCCACTACATTCATTTCCTGACCATATCCCCTTGTTTTCCAGACAGCTACGTCTCTACTTTCATTTCAGCTGTATATATTGGATTTTATGTACCTACATAAAATTTAGGAGTCGCAAATGGAAAAATGATGTGATATCTGTCTTTCCGAGATTCACTTAATTCACTTAATATGATAATCTCTGATTGTATCCATTTTCTCGCAGACATTATAATCTCATTATTCTTATGGCTGAACAAATTCCGTCGTGTATATAAATGATGTTTTCTTTATCGATTTCTCTGTTGGTGGACATCCGGGATGGTCCCATGGCTTAGCTGTTGTGCCCATGCAACACGGTCAACATCACTGTGAAGTCTCTGTATCAGGTACTGACTTGCAGTTTTAGGGGCGTGGCGTAATTGGATCATATTGTAGATTCCAGAGAAACCTCCATGCTGACCTCTGTGGTGGCTGGAGCGGCTTACATCTCTCCCAGCTGCATGCAAAGGTTTTCTTGATCACTGCCATTCCAATGGTGATGTCAACAAATGCATTCCTCTAGCTAGTGAAGTTGAGCCACTTTTCCTGTGTATAGACTTTCTGTTCATTTCAGCGTCCCATTTAATGACTGGTTGTTTTTTTGTTTGTTTAGTTTTCTTAGTTCATCATAAATGCTAGATGCTAGATTTGCAACAAGCAAAGTTTCTCTCTGTGTATTTTCTCAGTTTCCTTTGCTGTGTAGATGCTTTTTAACACCATCATGTTCCATTTGTCTCCCATGGGTCTCTTTTCATTTGTTTTTGACAACTGGTTACCCGAAAGTACTTGCCTATGTACCTTCATGTATTACCTATACTTTTTCCTCTTAACAGTTTACAGAGAAACAATCATGTGATTTCTGTTCTTGGGTCTGTTTGTGTGATACATCATTTATTTACTTGAATATGTTGAACCATTCATGTGTCTCTTGGATGAACTGACTTGAATATCATAAAGTTTTTGATATGTACTTGAATGCTTTTTGTAAGAACTGTATTGGTTATTTTTAAATCTTTCTTAATCAGGATAACTGTTCTATAATTTTCCTTTCTTTTTATGTTGTGTCTTATTCTAGATTTAGTACTAGAGTAATGTTGAATTTATAGAAGGGGTAGTGTGTTTTTTTTTCTTTCTATTTCATAGACTAAATAGCTTTTGAATCATTGTTGCCAATTCTTCTTTAATGATCTGGTTGAATGTAGCAGTGGACTTTTTTAGTTGAGAGACTTTTCTTATTCACCAGTCTTGTTACTTTTAGATCTGCTTAAATTGTTTATGTTGTAGCAATTTAATTTTGGTACATCTAGAAACACATCCTTTTCAATTTTCCAATCTAATGAAATACAAGCTTTCAGAATATATAACTGATTTTTCTGAACTATATTGGTTCTGTCATAATGTCTCCCTTTACAGTCCTTACTTTGTGGATTTAGATTTTCTGATTCTTTTGCTCATTTAACTGAGTATCATTGACCTTGTTCATCTTATTAAAGAACCAACCCTTCACCCATTTGCTATGTCTAGTGTAAATTGGGCTGACTACAGTTTTCGATCTTTAATTAAGCATTCATTTTTTTAAATCTTTCCTTTTTTTAGAGATCAGAATATATTTGTCCTATGATTTATGATTGCCATTTTTCTACTTTGCTCACCATTGTCTATACTTGATAAAAAGTGTAATATGCCACAGTACATATTTTATCCTTTACCCTGAGAAATAGGAATAATAAAGTAAATGATCGTGGAACATAGACCATGACTACTGGGTGAAAAGCAGCTACTCGGCTTCACCAAGATGTCTGTCTCTAGCATCTAGAGATTTGGATATGTATGGTAGAACCAGAAACTGGTGCTTATCCCCATACTTCTGACACTCCTATTCGGAGTGCATGCAACTTGTCAATCAATGCTATAAAGACTACAGGGCAGTTTGTCCTCAATGATAAGTCAAGGACTCTCATGCTATGTGTTTTCTCTTACTCTTTCTAACCTCAGTGTACGTGTCTGTGTGTGTTTGGGGCACTTGGACATGTACATGTGTGTATTTGTGCATGTATGTGAATGTCTATGCGTGTGCATATGCACATGTATGTGTATATATTCATGTGTTCATGTGTGTGTAACTGTGTGTGGTGTGTTTGAATAAATATGTGTCTGCTTGTGTATGGTGTGTGCGCATGGATGTGTGCACGTGTGTGAATTGTGTATGCCTCTGTGGGGGGCATACATGCAGGTGTGTGTGAATGGGCGCTTGTATCTGTCCGTGTGTGTGGTGTGTGCATGCATGTGTGTGGATATATGCATGTGTATTCTTTCAGATTCTTCTTAAGATTCAGTAGATTTCATGAACTTTAATTCCAGTTGAAGATGGTCTCTGAAACGTAGCTCAATGATTACATTTTCTGAAATTTAGCTAGAGATATTAACTACATCCCCGCTGGTTTTAAATGAAATTTTTTATTAGTGCAAGTTCAGTTTCATGGACATTTCATTTTTATAACACTATAATACTGTAACGTTTTTCCCATCTGGCTTCTTCCCTTTACCTGAGTAGTAAAGTAGGCATTGCACGTCAGCATTTGAGCCCAAACTTAATAAAATATAGAAGTTGACTTATCTTCTTTTACAAGTTTTAGCTTCACCCTGAAGTCGCTGTGAATTTGAAATATTTTCTTTCTCACCGAGGAAATATCATGGAAACCATACGGGGGAGGGGCCAGCTACTGAGCGTTCTTGCTCCAGTAATCTTAGGTTTTAAGATTTTTTAATCTTAGGTTTTCTGTCTCTTCTCTCTAGTAGGAGACTTTATCTCTACTTTCTTTGCTTGTTAATTATCCAACCTCAGGCATGGAAATAACTTTTATTCTTGAGGTTTTCATCTCTACTGTTCATATGTATGTTCATGTGTTGGTCTGAAGATCTGACTTACATGAGAAGCTGCTTGATTTTTATCCTAGACTGTATTTTCTCATCATTAACTCCATTGAACAGAGGACTTGTTTCTCTGAACTTTAGACATGGCATTTAACTCTGAGAAGAACCAGTATTCTGATATCTGATTACTTAATAATTTCAAGAATGCATCTGAGTAGAATATTTTCATCTATTCAGAAAGAAAAAGAGCAGGAGGAATAGAGTCCTGGCTTTCCCACTGCGATAGAGTTGTGTGTTCCATCTCACAAACAAGAACTGTCTCCGATGTCTCAAAAACAAAGGGGAAAGCACAATGCAGAATGTGATGTATGCTGAACTCTACTTACAATATTAGTTATTTTCCACCTGAACTATTTTATTTATGACAGTCAGTAAATGAACCACACCTCCCCCAAAGGCATACAGGCTTCTATGGGTGTGTCTGCCTGTGATGAAGAAGACAGATGGTAGAGATGTGCACCCTACTTTACAGGAGTTTGTTAATAGCCTGATTCTTCTAAAGAAGTATAATCTACACCCTGCTGTGCTTATATAAGCAGAGAATTAGTCCATCAGACAGTGGAAGATAGGATTTTTTTTTCCCCGAGAAGACAGAAAATTGCTCAATATATTCAACCAATAGTAAAAATTACATACATCTCAAAAATCATTGCAGTCATAAAATTCTTACAGTTTCGAACACACTGTTGAGATCTTTGCATTATAACCTGATCTGGAGTGATGCCAAGCCAGCTTGTTGTTTCAATGAGTCATTTATATTTGTTAATCACATTTAATTAACTTAAATTTTAAGGGAAATATTTCTGGATCTGTTCCAATCTTGTATTTATTGTCAAAAAACTCTCCTGGTATTAAAAAAAAATAGAAAATAGAAAAGCAAATGTTATGCAGTCGAGGAACATGGCCAAGGAAGCACAGCCAGGTGGTGGTAAAGACAGAGAAAACTAAAGGAGAGTGAAATAAGAAAAAACATTTACTACATCCCAGGCTACTGATTGGAATTGGGTGAGTTTCTCTCTACTGTTCTTAATAGGCAGAGTGAATGGGAAAAAAGCAGGGGCCCTTGTCTACACTAACACTACTCTAACACTAACAGCCAAGGAGGTGAGCATCATTCTTGGTGTTATGGCTGATAATGTTTCCTTATCCTAAGCTTGTGAGGCCCTTGAGCTTTCCTTGGCTTGCATGTTGTTGTGAGGAAAGGCACAGGGCCTGCAGCTATCACATGAAGGCTCACAACAGAATGGGTTCCCAGCGGAGCCACCATGGTGTTCCCATCACTTCCCATTTCTGTATACGTGCTGCACGCTTGTTCAGGTTGTGCTAAAAGCAGACCCGTCTGGCCAGTTCTCTGCGGACTTTTAAAAACCCTGTAGCCGCTTAGAACAGGACAAAGGCAGGAAATGCAGCTGGTCTTAGGGAAAAGTGAAAACAGATGGAGAGGCACCTGCTCAGCCTCTGTGTCCAGGGACATGGTGCACTTGTTTCCACGGCGGTGTGTGTGCAGTTGCTTCTGGAGATCTTGGGGTGCTCTCGCTCACACTTGGTCACACTGTCACCACAACCTTGGAAATATTCTAGTCAAAGAATCTACAATAGACTGCTCCCTTGAAGGCCACCTAACACCCAGACTCGCAAATTCTCCTGGGAGGGTATAGTATGGAATACTATCCTTGAATTCTTTTGTATTTTCGCACTAA